AGTAAGGGTGGCCAGGATCTGGAATGGGCTTCCAAGAAAGGTGGTGCTATCACCTAGCTTGGAGGTCTTCAAAAAGAGGCTAGATAGTCACCTGACTGGGGTCATCTGACCTCAGTCCTCTTTCCTGCCAGGGGCAGGGGGTCGGACACGATGATCCATTGTGGTCCCTTTCGACTCTACAATCTCTGAATCTCTGAATCTCTGAAGCTCTGAATAATAACCCCCCAAAAAGCATATGTAAAGACACCCACAGTTACCTCAGGATAAAATTGTACAACCAGCACACAAGCCTTAACTTAAAATCACCACATAGTTGTTCCTCACCATTCTTTCAAATCGTGACTTGATTGCAGAGCAGAATAGCTTACTCCAGTCTCAAGGCTATGCACTGTGTGCCTGCTTCACTTTTATTCTGAAGTGAAGTGAATTACTCTGGACGAAAGGTGTCACATGTCCCTTAGAGTTAATTCAAAGGGAAGCAAACCCAAAGCGGGAGGGGGCAGGGAAGAAAGAAAACGATTTGATAAGAAAGGTTTTGTCAGCACACCACCACCCAGCTTTCTTTTGAAGGCCAGTCAGTTCTGCATTCTGGGTTTCCAAACAGTTGTTTTTTTTAATGTGGCAACCTCATCCCCATAGAAACAAAACAACAAATAAGCAGACAGACAGAGCAACAAAACTTGCACTCTTTCATCAGGCTCTGGAGGCCATGACAGACTTTACACTTTAAAACCCGATAATGTGTTATAACCCATGACATGATACATGTGCATAGAGTTAAGTCTCATTTAGGGTCCCAATCATTTTTTTTTGCTTTAGTTATCATTTTGCATGATAACTAAAGCAATCAACTTGGTAATTGCCACCATTGTGAAGTTAAGTAACCCCTTAACCACAAGGAATGGTGGGATGGCCCTCCCCAAAAGAAGAAACGAGGCTCAGACTAGCAAGCAAATAAATTTTATTCTTTACAGAGAGGAAAGCTTTAATTTACTTTATATACATATATGCATGCTTACATATATATTATTAATTACAGTTAAATTAAAGCTAAGCAAGTAAAGCTAACTATTTAAATCTTAAATATTTAAGCTTTTAATATTCATTTATTTATTTAAGGTTAAATGTTTAAGCTTTCAGAGTATTTAAACTAAAGTTAATAATTAAAGTTAAATTAAAATTAAATAGATATATTCTCTGACTAGAACAGCACCACCCAAAGCATGAAAATTTGAACTACATGCTGTCACAACCCAAATTAATCAGTGCCCATGTCACTTGCAAGAGATACCATTCAGACCATCATCTGATCAACTAAGGGTTAAAACAAAATCCTGGCGAAGAGCTGTATATAATTTATGCCCACGTCACAAATGAGAAACGAAACTTAAGACTGGTCAGGGTGAAAGGGGATAGCCCTGCCATAAATCCCTGCAATTGGTCAAGGAACAAGCGTAGGTACCTCACACACAACATACTAAAAACCTAACCCACTACCTTGTAACCTGATAGCAACCTGAGAGCACAAAGAACTGCTGCTTGGAATTAAAGATTCCATTTAGCAGTTCATCATTGGGTATCTCTGAGAAACACCTCTGTCTATAAATAGTTTAGCAACTTCCGCCCAAGTCAGAGAAACTCTGGGAGACCTCTGCGGAAATCTCTAAGGAGAAACCTAAGATCATCATCAGAGTAAATTGACAGTCTGATCAGCTGTCAATAGCTTCCCGTCAGCGTAATATTGACGTATCAAAGCCCTGCAGGCACGATAGCTCGTTCCCGGCGCCACGTCCATCATCGTTAGCTATAACCCGAAACTGTACGCTTGATCGTAATCGTTGTATCGTTAGCTGTAACCTGAGACCATACGCTTGATTATAATCGCTATAACTGGAAAAACTGCAACGGAACAAAGGTTCAGCCTGCGTCGCGCGTCACTATCTGAGCGACGTAAGTAAACAAATTTCTGTAACCAACACGCGTCTGTGCCTGGTTAATTTCACCTCATCCATCACTACCCGCCTGTTGAGGTGACAGTTTTACGACTCCAGGTGGGAGTCAGTAAGCAGCTGACCGGCCGCTGCTCTGATCTCCGACACATGCATCGACTCTGTAAAAAGCATTATGGATGTAAGTGCCATCCAGTGGTGCTACGAGGTACATAACTTAACACATGACCAAATGACTGAATGAATGTATACCACCGCAGTAGACAGTGGGTGCATCTAAATCTAAATCGGAAGCTATTGAATCCACATTTAGATAAATCACTTGCATTTGTATCAAGGGTGGGAAAGCAACACAGGCTTCTTCCTCTGTACCGCAACCTTCCCTTTCTCCCCTTTACACTACTTCTGGAGCTTTTAAGTCTCTTCATAGCTCTACCCTTATTCACTCATCTGTTGCAGATGCTGCCAGCCTTCCAGCCATGCAGACACTTAACTGCTGACAACCTGCAGCTGGATCTCAGACTGAACTGCAGGCTGAGTACCTCCTTACAGCATTGTTATACTGATAACAGTGATCACTTGTCTTGTGTTCACTGAGGCCAAGACAAAAAGTAATGGGCTTAAATTACAGCAAGAGAGATTTAGTTTAGGTAATAAAGGAGAACCTTCCAAATAGGAGAGTGGCAAAGCAGTGGATGAGATTACTTAGAGAGGCTGTATATTAGAATCTCTGTCACTTTATAAGTTTTTTCTGTCAAAGTGAAGGCTAGATAAACAGTTGTGTGGAATGGTATCAAACAGTACTCTCAAATTAGGGTGCATGTACTCTTGGGAATATGCAGCAAATGCATAAAAGGTACATGAGATGAGGGATGAAAAGACTGTAAGGGTGAAAGAGGAAATATAAATGAAGAAAAGTGCAGAACAGTTGAACAACAGCTCTAAAATCTCTCTTATATTGTTAGGTTACAGCTCAGTATCATGACAGAAGTCATTCTTTTATTTTCCATAGTGTAAATCTAGAGGGGTACACAAACCTTTTCCTGTTTTTTTTTATACAGGGGAGTATACCTGGAACACTCTATTTCCCGACACTGCCACTCAACTGAAGCACAGCTATATTAAGCACAAATTGCAAACAGTGAATATGCACCCAGAACTGCAGTTATACTGCTACATAGAGGCCAATAAGCACATGACGTGAAATAATGTCCCCAAAGGGAATGCCTGGCGATACACTGGGTGATAGAATATTTTAAATATTATCTGATGGGGCGGGAATTCCTGGTGGTGACGGATCAAGCCCCACTGCAATGGCTAACCAGGAAACAAAGCGAAAATACCCGTATTACTCGGTGGGCTCTGGCTCTACAACCTTTTAAGTTTACAGTAATGCACTGTCCTGGCAAAGATAATTTTTTAGCGGATTTCCTCTCTAGATGTGGTAGCTCAGTGGAGCCTGCCAAGCTACCATCACCAGCTATTCAATCAGCTGTTCCCGGGGTGGGGAAAAGCCGGGCCAATCACAGAGGCTGGAGAAGCCGCTGCGGGAAGATTAAAAAGCCCCATGGGAACCTGGCAAGGGGGAGGAGAGGGAGCACATTGGCGTGGAGCATGCCAGGTGTGGCGAGGCTTCTGTGGCAGGCAGGAGCATTGCAGCTGGCTCAGTGCCGGCATCCAGAGCAAGGGGAAGCTGATTCCCTGTACAAGGCTGGGAGGGAGGAGGCAGTTCTACCCATCCCTCCAGCTGTCTACTTTGTAAAGATTGTTAGAGGCATTCCGCCCAGAGGCAGCGAGAAGGATGCCAGCAAACGGGAGCCTAGTCTGTCAGCATCTGAGGTGGAGATGCTAACTGTCATGACAGCTGGGCTAGCCCACCAGAAACCATGCCGATGCCAGTACCCCTGGAGAAAGGGGTCTACAGGGCACGGCTGAACAACACAGGTGCCACCCATTTGGTTGGCGAGTGGACGGTGTGTAGGGGAGGCGGAGCCCTGCAGAACCTGGTGGCAAGATTGTAAGTACCACTGTTTCTGGGGTCCCCAGGAAGAGGATCGTCACTGAACCCCTCATTTCATTCATTAACACCAAGTCATGGCAGGAGAGCTGAGGGAAGGGGGTCCCAGTTGAGACGGATGGTACGGCACTCATCGTACCCCACTTTAGGCGCTTCCACAGATGGAATAGTAATGTGGCATGAGGTGTTACAGGAGTGGGTTTAATCAGGGCTGTAAAGGCAAAAAAAGAATCTTATGCAGATAACTATTTCTAAATCATTTCCTTTTTTGTGCAAAAGCTAGTGCAGCAATTCATTTCCTGTTACGTATGTTTTCACCTTAGCAAACCACAAAAATGCTAGTGATGATCAAGCTGAACAACTGCCAGCTAGAGAGCTGTATAGAAGGCAAGAAGCACCTTCTCCAGCTGAGGCATACTTATTTCAAATTCCTGGGAGAGATCAAAGACACATAATGATCATGAAAATCATATTGTTCCTAGCTGTGCTGTCATTACTGGACCTACCTTTTTGCTCTAACAAACAAGATTTTCCTGATATAGACAATCCTCAGTTTATTGAAGATTGCGTGAGAAGTCATAACCATTTTCGATCTAGGGTGAATCCAACAGCCAGCAACATGCGCCGCATGGTAAGAGAACTTTATAACATATTAATGGATAAGCACAGAACATGCTATTGAATTAGCACTTCTCTTTTTAATTTTGGTGTACTTTTTTCATTAGTCGTGTGAACATTTTAGATGCTCTAGACAGCAGGGAGTCATAGAAAAAAAGGAACTAATTGTTAGTCAGATGCAAATTTGTTCAGTTTTACTTGTTTGGAAAAAATTCAGTTCTTCAATTACGACTGGATCTCCAATGCATAGTTTAGCTGGTGCAAGGGGCGTGGTGGGGCAAGGGCACAAGGCATTGACCAAAAAAAGACTCTTCTGAGAGTTCCTTTGGCTGATGCAGATCACTTCATTTCCTAAACTGGCTTAGGCTTTGTCTCCTGTGCTGCCAGCTGATTGAGAAATCAGAATTAATGCTCTTTTCATTCACTGCATTCACCTACCATGCCGCCTCTCTCCCCTTATAGTCTTTCCCCTAGTGGTATGGGATGGGGAGAAAAGTCAACAACATCTACTTCATATGCAAACAGACAAGGTTCTTTGGGTGAATCTGATATCTTTTATTAGACCAAGTTAAATAGTTGGAAAACAATTATTAAGCAAGCTTTTGGGTTTAAAAACCCTTTGTCAGGCTAAGGAAGTTTCTGCAGTTTGTGTGCGCTCTTCCTGGATGGAATGAAAAGTAAAGAAGCCAGAGGCTGGTCTGGTATGCATACAAGACAGGCAGTCAGTGAAAATGTAGACTGAGGAGTCAATGGGTGAGAGACAGGCTGGGTTGGGGGGAGAGAAGGGGGATGAATAGTGGAGAAGTACCTGAGGAGCCAGATGTCAGGCAGGTTATAATGTATCATAAATCCAATGTCTATATTTAGTCCATGATTTTTAGTATCCAGGAGATTGATGAAGTGGAGTTCATAGGCTCATCTCTGGGAAGTGTTGTGTAAGTTTCCTTTGAGGATCAGGACTGAGAGATTTGATAGAGAGTGGTTTTCTTGTGAGAAATGTGCCCCCATGGGTAATTGGGTATTCCAGTCTTTGATAGATTTTCGGTGTGCATTCATTCTGGTGTGCAGTTGTTGTTTGGTCTCTCCTACGTATTTTCCATCAGGGCATTTGGTGCATTGGATGAGATATATTACCAGACCAGCCTCTGGCTTCTTTACTTTTCATTCCATCCAGGAAGAGCACACACCAACTGCAGAAACTTCCTTAGCCTGATGAAGGGTTTTTGAACCCAAAAGCTTGCTTAATTATTGTTTTCCAACTATTTAAGTTGGTCTAATAAAAGATATCAGATTCACCTAAAGAACCTTGTCCATAGACCAACACGGCTACAACCTACATCCCAATGCATGTTAATTCATGTTCTTTTCATTCTGTAGTCCTGGGACTCCGCTTTGGCTAAAACTGCCAGAGCATGGGCAAAGAAATGTCACTTTGATCACAACATCTATCTTAAAGTACCAGGAAAGGTACATCCCACCTTTACTCCAGTTGGAGAAAACATCTGGACTGGCAGTGGCTTATTTTCTGTGAATGCAGCCCTTACTGACTGGTATGATGAAGTCAATATGTATGATTTTGAGAGCCGTGCCTGTACTCGCGTGTGTGGCCATTACACCCAGGTAATTTTTTTGTATCTGTCTCAACTTTCAAATGATTTGTGAAAAGCACACGTTGCCTACTATTTTAAATTGTTGCTTAAATCAGTTATACAATTTGAACTGACAATTCTAGGTGAAGAGAACTCTGCAAAAATACTGTGATAAAGAGAAAAGAGGATACTGTGCTGTTTAGAAGCCTTGATTCTGAGGGAAAGACAAAGCACTTTCAAGCATATATCCCTGTGCTTGGGATAGCCCTAATTCTGGAGAAGACATGCTGACTGGTTGAGCTGAGAAGAACTTTATTTTAATTTAGAAATCTTTTTCTCCCTTCTCTTCATAGCTCCTTGGGCATTTTTGTACAGATTGGGGATGATCTGAATAAGGACATAAATAAATACAATTTATTCTAGTATTGCACCTGGAGTTCTGTTCTGCTTCACTGACCATCATATTCTAATATGGATTTAGGGACAGATCCTATTTTGTCATTGAGGTATCTAAGTGGCATATAACCATCTAAGTCTCAAAGGGTGCCTGTACACAAGTGTGGGCGTTTTAGTTCAAATGAGCTTTAGTTCAAGTGCCCCTGCCACCATTTTGAAGCACAGGAACACAAGACACTGCGGCACTTTAATTAGAGCGCTTTCAGAGCCTTGCTAATTAAAGTGCAGCACCCGCCCCCCCCCCCCCCCCCCCCCCCGCACGCAAACAAAAATAAAATGCCCCCCCCCCCCCCCCCCCCCCCCGGGAGCATGTGTAAAAGTGCCCTAAGTGTGATTCTATTCCACCCTGTCCAAGTCCTCTAAAAACAATAAAAAAACTTTTCTACTTTTGCATTAAATAGATCCTGAATAAAATGCATAAGCAACTTCAGGGCAGTGGCCAAAATAAGGGTCTCTCTCTCTCCCAGGGCAATGCCTTCCTCATTGGTTTATAGTGTCAAGCTCCATCATACGTGTAAGAGATGTAGAGTCAAATCCTCCCAGGCTATGGTGGATCTAGAATCCAGGTTTTTCTTGTCCTGGACAAGTACAGTAACTACAAGAGAATGGGACACAAGATAGGTACCATTGCCCTCCCTTGAAAAATTATACTCATTGCACATGTTTTTTCTTCCACTAAGGATTTAGGGGGCTTTTGCTGAACATGTATTCTTACCCCAAGAAGAAACTGTTTTTGAATACTACTTATGTGGAGGTAGATATTTGCTAAAATGGTTAAAGCACTGTTTAAAGTTGCTTCAGAGTGATTCTCATGGAAAAAAATACAACAAAAAAACTGCCACACTGTAGTATCAGGAAGAAGGCCACTTTACCTCTTTATTATAGAGAGAGGCAAATACCAAATATTGGGACTGTTGAAACAACCTATAAAATAAAACCTGCCCTTCAGTTTTAGAATAATAGGCCAAGTTTTCCAGGTGCTTCCCTGTTCCCAGAGGAAACAAATTATAAATTGAGGAAATTACATTTTTTGTTTAAATTACAAAAAAAAAAAAAGATTCCGAACCAGGCTGCGATGAGATCCTTTCAAGGATGCTGTGGAGTACTATACAATGTTAACACTGTTAGGTGGGCAAACATAACTCACATGATAAAGAGATTTCAAATAAGAATCCATTGTATTAAAAACTATTCTGTCCTGTCATGGTCTTTCTGAGTTCTTTGCAACAGAAGAACTGCTCTATTATTTCTTTGGAGTCAAAATTCAAGTGAAAACTAAGAGTTCAAATGAAAACTAAGAATTACTCTATTATTTCCCTATAGTTAAAATTCAAATGAAAACATTTTCTACAGGGTGCCTGGAGTTTAAATAGGTTGAAAACTACTGCCTTAAGCTGTTGCTATTAGGCCTGTGCGAATAGGAAAGTATTCAGTTTGGATTCAGCTGATTCAGAAGACAATGATTCAGTTCGGAGATTCAGATCACTGTCCTGAATCAATTCGGCCGAATCGGCTTCAGCAGATTTGGCGCAGATTCAGAGCGATTCAGAGATTCGGCATAGACTATAATGGGGAATCACTGAAATAACTATAACTTTGTCATTTTTTCGGCAGATTTGGATGAAAACAGTAGGAATGGTAGCTTCTGAGGGCATAAGGCCTGCCAAGTTTCAAGGAGATAAGTGCAGGGGTTTCTGGGAAACTGCACCTCAAGGTGCTGACAAGCAAAATACGTGTCACATGTGTGTGTTAAGGCAGAACGGGGTGAAAACAGCAGGCATGATAGCCCCTGCTGAGGCCATGAAGTCTGACAGATTTCAAGGAAATAGGTGCAGGGGGTTCTGGGAAACTGCACCTCAAGCTTCTGAAAGCAAAACTCGTGACATGTGTGACCTTATATGTGTGTTAAGGCGCAGCAAGATGAAAACAGCAGGGATGGTAGCCTGTAACAGGGGGCCTTCCCGGTGCTCAGGCAGAAACAGCTCACAAAAGGCACAGAAAGGCTGCAGACAGAGGCTTATGTGCTGTCTCTCTGTCCCTTCCCCAGAGCACTGTGGTTGGAAGGGGACTCAGGGAAAGATCACAGTCACTGGCCAGCTACAGATGTCAGTCTTTCCCCCCTGCTCCCCCTCCTTCTTCTCAGTTTCTGTTCCCCTGAAATTCTGAATTGCCAAAAACCTTCTGAATTGCCGAATCTTTTTCCAAATCTTTTCTGAATTAATTCGGAGGTTCTAAATTGATTCAGAGGGTTTTAGTATCCTGATTCGATTCAGATTTGGTGATTCGGCCTCCAAATTGGGCCAAATCTTCTCTGAATCAAATTGGTGACTGAAGCTTCACACATCCCTAGTTGCTATGCCTTCTGTGTGGGCTGTTACAAAGCTACCCAAGATATCCAACTTGATTTCCTGCTTCTCCTTTTATCACAAGTTGTAGTAGTCTTATTAATCCTGGGGGGGGGGGAGCATGTAACATACTTTGGTTTCTTTTTCAGGTTGTTTGGGCCAAAAGTTACAAAGTTGGCTGTGCAGTTCAGTTCTGTCGTAGAGTTACAAATTTTCCTGGTATCTCCAATGCGGCACATTTTGTTTGCAACTACGGACCTGCGTAAGTTGACATTATTTTAAAAGATGCTGGAGCACACCTGGGAAATCCAGAGTCCAAAGAATCCAAGTAATATCCAACCTCATGGAGAAGATCTTGTCTCTTGCATAGCATACTTAGACATGTTTCCTAGGGTTACTGTATTATCAAATATTTCTATGTACTAGGACAGAGGTTAGCAACAATCCAATTCACAGAGGCAGTGGATCTAGCCTGTAGATCCAGAAGACTTTGCCTCTGCTCATGCCTGTGTTAATCTAGCAACATGATGTTGTTCTGCTTTTCAGTGGGAATTATCCAACAAAACCTTACACAGCGGGAGCAACATGCAGTCAGTGCAATGGTGAAAAGTGTCCAGGCAACCTCTGTGGTGAGTGCAAGGAAATCTTTTAAAAATATTACCTAGAAATTTCTGGTGAAAAAGTAGTCATGTTGCACTATCCTTAGGAGGTGAGAGATGTGGGTTTGAATCCCTATAGGCTAAAGAGGGCCCATAACCTAAGACTCCTACTTTCTGGGAGAGTGCTCTAACTACTAGACTATTATGTGATGGCTGAACACTATCTCCACTACCACATCTGCTTAACTGACATTTAGGTGTGTAAAATGAAATAGGATTCTATCTGAGGTCTTCCAGAGACACAGTGAGCTCATTAAGTGCCCAGGGCAAAGACTAGGAGAGGGGGATGGGGGTGGGGATAATGAGGGGAGGGGAAAGCTTATCTTCCCAGACTCCTTCTGCCACATGTAGCAGTGTCAGCTGTGCTCAGCAGCAGTAGTCCCATATCAGGCTCACTGTGCTCCTTTTGCTCTTTTCCCACATTCCCTCCCTCTGCCCGATATATACATATTAGGTACAAGGCTCTGCCTGCTCTGACAAAGGCTCAGGGGTTGGGGGGTGAGAGGGCAGGAAAGTACCATTCTACTTACTCCACTCCACCTCCCCCCTCAGATACACTGCTCCATGGGTGACTGGTACCTCCTGAGTCAGGGGAGGCAACAGATCACCGATCAGGGAGTGGGGGGAGTTCCTCAGTGGCAGCCAATTGCCAACCTGGTGCACTCTCCCCACCCTAGTATGTTCCTGAGGTTTCCACATTTAGAGCCTTGTTAGACCTTACATGGTAAGCTGAACAAATGTTAATTGGCTTAGTATTGTTCCACTTAGTGAAGCAGTCACACAGTAAGGTGAAAAACCTACTCTGACTGTCCGTCAGCTGCACTGCTGTGACTTGCCACTAGAGGCTGGATGAGCAGGGGCAGGACTAGGAGCAGGACATCTTGCTGCTCCCACCAGGCAGACTAAGTGAGCTCCAGAGCTGCAGCAAACGTTGAGAGCAGGAAAGGAAATTCTCTTCACTGCCCTCCACCTGTGCATGGAGCTAGAGACACCCTGCTCAGCTGCAGGCAGCCCAGGTCTCCTTGGCAGCAGCAAGCAGGGAGTGGGAGGGAATTCTTCCTGTGTTTGCTGCTTCCAGACTGGGCAGAGTATCCCTGGTTCCCTGCATTTGTGCCAGGAAGGATGTGACAAGCACTGCATCCCTGGAGCTTCCTTGTTCTGCCTGGTGGGAGTAGAGGTGCTGTGCCTGGCCCCACTATATGTTACTTATATTTACTGACTTCTGCAAGTTAGTTTTGCACATTACCTTTTAACAATAAATCCAACCTTTTAGACGTATTTGCTACTTCCTTCACCTGTAGGACAACAGGTTGTATAAGAGCAAATACAAAATGTTGGAAGCTACATTAAATTCAGTACAAAACTATGAGACCTACCTCATCTGGCAACATGTCAGCCCAGTTAATTTTTGAGCGGCATTTAGACATCAATTTGGGTTGTAGGTGCAGTTGGATAGTCAGTACTAAGGCACTACTAATTTTTCATTAATACAGCTGACAGTCAAGTCATATTTACATTTGTTTCTGATCTCTCACCAGAAAACCCAGAACGTGAGCAACTGATAAGTATGTACCAACACCTTTTCTTGTTAAATTACTTACTTACAGTCCAGTATGTATAGTTAAGCATAAGACCCTTTTCTTTCTTTTTAAAGATTATGACAACTGGTATCCAGACTGGGATACAACTCCACACCTCCCCTTTCCTAGGCCTCCATACCCTTCCACTCCTTCATCCCCCAGCCCTTCTGTGCCTTCACGCTCCTTTTGTGACCAATACTGTATTGTTGTTTTAGTTTTAAGGCTACTGTTTGTGTTTCTGGTCTTTGGTGCTGTCTTTCTAGTACAGTGGCAGTATCCTCAATTATATATCTATGAATAATCTCCATTTCAAGATATTCAGCAGCACTGTTTAGTACTGTTATATCACTGAAGCAAGGGAATTACACAGAAGAACAATACAGGCAGGATTGTTTTTATAACAGAAAAATGTTAACCCCCATTATTTGATATTTTAGCCTTTGAGCATCACTATACTTTAAATTTTTTACCACTATTCTTATCTGTGTCCAAGATATTTTTCCCCCTTCAAGAAGAGGGAGAAACAGAAGTAAAATTATCCCCCATTAAGATATTTAGGGAAGATCTGCCCCTTTTAGCTCCACAGAATATTGCCTGACCATTTAGACTCTAATGAGTCTGTTGACAACTCTCAGTAAACACAAACACATACTACAATGTGCTATTTAAGGATCCACTTCCCACTTCTTGTCAGAGTCAGAACTGCTAGACTGCCTAGCATAGAAGCTAGACCAATGATTCTCAATGAGGGTGCTGGGAGACCCTGAGCTACTCCTGGATCTTTTAAAAGGTATGTGAATCTGAGGTCTGAGGAGATAAGTGTTAGCAGATAAACAGCTGAACTAGCAGAAAACCTCAGGCTCAGGCTTATCCCTGCCTGGATGATCCCCTACTTACACTGCCAGGCCCCTCCATAAGGAAGTAAGCATTGCAATTTATAAATTCATTTTTGAAATTGGGTGCCACTCAAATCACAGAAGTTAAGGAGGGGTGCCTCAAGTCCAAAAAGATTGAGAACCAGTGGGCTGGACTATAAGCTAGTGATTGTCAACCAAGGTACCACAGCACCCTAACATGCCTTGATCCTTTCAAGGGTGATGCAGGGTGCTACACAATGTTAACACTGTTAGGTATGCTAATGAGATTTATCTGTTAAACTTGTATCTTTTCATTAGCAATCCATAGCGTTAAAAACAGTCTGACCTGCTGTGGCTTTGAGTTCTCTGCAACCAAAGAATTGCTCTATTGGTTTTTCTGTAGTCAAAAACCAAGTGAAAACTTATAGAGCTTACATTTTCTGAGGGGTGCCTCAAGTCTACCCACAGGTGTCTTGAGTCTCTCCAGGGGCGTAGTGAGTCTAAACAGGTTGGGAACCACTGCTATAAGCTACTAATGGAGATTCTTCTTTAACTTACATCTTAGTTTTGGGAGCTAGAGAAATCCAAATCCAGCAATACAAAGCTTCTGGCGGCCACTGTATTCATAACAAAATGTGATTCTGGGTGGTCACAGACGTGTTACAATACTACACAGTGTTAATAGGTGAGAAGTATTAAATGATTCTCATATAATATAGTTCTTTGTGTTAAATTTGAATCCTTTTAGCTTGCATGCTTGTAGCTTTATTGGGCCTTTAACTGAGAATTTTCTCAACAGGGCTAGGTAGCCTAGTCCTAGGACACCCAGTTTTGATTAAAGGTTCAAGTCAGCTTGTTCAAGCTCGTCTGACAGAATGAAACAAAAATGTCTTCTTTTTTACCATATTTGTCAACATTTTCATCAAATAACATTGTAAACCTTTCAGGAGGGGGTAAAAAAAGAGTTCAGTGCTCAGAGACATGTCCCTCTGACATTCTCTGTGGAGGCTCCCATTGTAGCTTTAATGAAAATTCAATGCCTCTTAGGAGTTAGTTTCCGAATTCGGGTAAGATCTCCCCAACAGACTGCTCATCTGTTAAAAATTCTGAGGATTTTAAGACATAGGGATTCCAAGTTGTAAGATTGCTTATTTCTGTTTGGATCACAGAAGCAAATCGAGCTAGATCTTGGGTTATTCTTTGTTAGCAAGATCATCATTTCATAATTTTAATAAAGTTTGTTTTTGTTTTCACCAAATTGGAGGACTCATTTTGCTGAGAACAGGGGCTGTCAAAAGTAACCCTAAGACCCTTAAATCTCCTTCAAGGGTCAACAATAGTATTTTACAATTCTGGGTCTTTTGCCTGCTATGTTCTTTTATACAAGAGATTTAAGAAATATTATGTACACAAGCCATTTCTCAACAGAATTTCAGTTGAATAAAATTGGAAAAAATAAAAATGCTTTTTACCTTGGAGAAAAAAATCCATCAGCCCCCCAGCCCCCTGCCCCCCACCTTGGAATTAAGAAGAGTATCACTATAAAGCTCAGTAGCCCAGGGTCATTCTAAATACTAGAAGTATTGACCTGAAATGAAGAAGTGGTCCAGTGGCTGCAAAACAACCTCTAGTCTACCATGGTAGTGCTTCAGGCCAAATCCAGCCTATGAGGAGTACAGAAGTCTAGATCTAGCCCAAGCCCACAGGTGAGTCTGACATCTCTGACACCTACCAGTGTAGCTCAGTATGCCATTATCCTTCTTGGCAACAAGGGCACACTGTCAGCTCATATTCAGCTTATTGTCCACTGTAACTCCCAGGTCCTTTTCTGCAGCACTGCTGCACAGCCAGCCAGCCTGCAGCCTGTACTGGTGCATGGGCTTGTTCTGTCCTAAGGACTTTGCACTCGTCCTTGTTGATATTTGAGTATGAGCAGGTGTCATATTTACATTTGTTTCTGATCTCTCACCAGAAAACCCAGAACGTGAGCAACTGATAAGTATGTACCAACACCTTTTCTTGTTAAATTACTTACTTACAGTCCAGTATGTATAGTTAAGCATAAGACCCTTTTCTTTCTTTTTAAAGATTATGACAACTGGTATCCAGACTGGGATACAACTCCACACCTCCCCTTTCCTAGGCCTCCATACCCTTCCACTCCTTCATCCCCCAGCCCTTCTGTGCCTTCACGCTCCTTTTGTGACCAATACTGTATTGTTGTTTTAGTTTTAAGGCTACTGTTTGTGTTTCTGGTCTTTGGTGCTGTCTTTCTAGTACAGTGGCAGTATCCTCAATTATATATCTATGAATAATCTCCATTTCAAGATATTCAGCAGCACTGTTTAGTACTGTTATATCACTGAAGCAAGGGAATTACACAGAAGAACAATACAGGCAGGATTGTTTTTATAACAGAAAAATGTTAACCCCCATTATTTGATATTTTAGCCTTTGAGCATCACTATACTTTAAATTTTTTACCACTATTCTTATCTGTGTCCAAGATATTTTTCCCCCTTCAAGAAGAGGGAGAAACAGAAGTAAAATTATCCCCCATTAAGATATTTAGGGAAGATCTGCCCCTTTTAGCTCCACAGAATATTGCCTGACCATTTAGACTCTAATGAGTCTGTTGACAACTCTCAGTAAACACAAACACATACTACAATGTGCTATTTAAGGATCCACTTCCCACTTCTTGTCAGAGTCAGAACTGCTAGACTGCCTAGCATAGAAGCTAGACCAATGATTCTCAATGAGGGTGCTGGGAGACCCTGAGCTACTCCTGGATCTTTTAAAAGGTATGTGAATCTGAGGTCTGAGGAGATAAGTGTTAGCAGATAAACAGCTGAACTAGCAGAAAACCTCAGGCTCAGGCTTATCCCTGCCTGGATGATCCCCTACTTACACTGCCAGGCCCCTCCATAAGGAAGTAAGCATTGCAATTTATAAATTCATTTTTGAAATTGGGTGCCACTCAAATCACAGAAGTTAAGGAGGGGTGCCTCAAGTCCAAAAAGATTGAGAACCAGTGGGCTGGACTATAAGCTAGTGATTGTCAACCAAGGTACCACAGCACCCTAACATGCCTTGATCCTTTCAAGGGTGATGCAGGGTGCTACACAATGTTAACACTGTTAGGTATGCTAATGAGATTTATCTGTTAAACTTGTATCTTTTCATTAGCAATCCATAGCGTTAAAAACAGTCTGACCTGCTGTGGCTTTGAGTTCTCTGCAACCAAAGAATTGCTCTATTGGTTTTTCTGTAGTCAAAAACCAAGTGAAAACTTATAGAGCTTACATTTTCTGAGGGGTGCCTCAAGTCTACCCACAGGTGTCTTGAGTCTCTCCAGGGGCGTAGTGAGTCTAAACAGGTTGGGAACCACTGCTATAAGCTACTAATGGAGATTCTTCTTTAACTTACATCTTAGTTTTGGGAGCTAGAGAAATCCAAATCCAGCAATACAAAGCTTCTGGCGGCCACTGTATTCATAACAAAATGTGATTCTGGGTGGTCACAGACGTGTTACAATACTACACAGTGTTAATAGGTGAGAAGTATTAAATGATTCTCATATAATATAGTTCTTTGTGTTAAATTTGAATCCTTTTAGCTTGCATGCTTGTAGCTTTATTGGGCCTTTAACTGAGAATTTTCTCAACAGGGCTAGGTAGCCTAGTCCTAGGACACCCAGTTTTGATTAAAGGTTCAAGTCAGCTTGTTCAAGCTCGTCTGACAGAATGAAACAAAAATGTCTTCTTTTTTACCATATTTGTCAACATTTTCATCAAATAACATTGTAAACCTTTCAGGAGGGGGTAAAAAAAGAGTTCAGTGCTCAGAGACATGTCCCTCTGACATTCTCTGTGGAGGCTCCCATTGTAGCTTTAATGAAAATTCAATGCCTCTTAGGAGTTAGTTTCCGAATTCGGGTAAGATCTCCCCAACAGACTGCTCATCTGTTAAAAATTCTGAGGATTTTAAGACATAGGGATTCCAAGTTGTAAGATTGCTTATTTCTGTTTGGATCACAGAAGCAAATCGAGCTAGATCTTGGGTTATTCTTTGTTAGCAAGATCATCATTTCATAATTTTAATAAAGTTTGTTTTTGTTTTCACCAAATTGGAGGACTCATTTTGCTGAGAACAGGGGCTGTCAAAAGTAACCCTAAGACCCTTAAATCTCCTTCAAGGGTCAACAATAGTATTTTACAATTCTGGGTCTTTTGCCTGCTATGTTCTTTTATACAAGAGATTTAAGAAATATTATGTACACAAGCCATTTCTCAACAGAATTTCAGTTGAATAAAATTGGAAAAAATAAAAATGCTTTTTACCTTGGAGAAAAAAATCCATCAGCCCCCCAGCCCCCTGCCCCCCACCTTGGAATTAAGAAGAGTATCACTATAAAGCTCAGTAGCCCAGGGTCATTCTAAATACTAGAAGTATTGACCTGAAATGAAGAAGTGGTCCAGTGGCTGCAAAACAACCTCTAGTCTACCATGGTAGTGCTTCAGGCCAAATCCAGCCTATGAGGAGTACAGAAGTCTAGATCTAGCCCAAGCCCACAGGTGAGTCTGACATCTCTGACACCTACCAGTGTAGCTCAGTATGCCATTATCCTTCTTGGCAACAAGGGCACACTGTCAGCTCATATTCAGCTTATTGTCCACTGTAACTCCCAGGTCCTTTTCTGCAGCACTGCTGCACAGCCAGCCAGCCTGCAGCCTGTACTGGTGCATGGGCTTGTTCTGTCCTAAGGACTTTGCACTCGTCCTTGTTGATATTTGAGTATGAGCAGGTGAGCAAGAAGGAGCAGAACAGGACAGTTTACAACACAAAACAAGATAAGTGCCCTGCACAAAGAAAAAGAGATTAGACTTTGATGAACTGGGGAACACCAAAAGAACTGCCTGTAAGTAGGTGTTTGCCAAGGAACAGTTAGAGTCAAGGGACTAGGCCTTACACCCTAGAAAGTCACAGCTCATCTTATTCACAGTAAAACTATTATAGCTCAATAGCAATCCTAGTATCATTTTGCCAACAAGATTCTGAAGTGTAAATGCTGCTACTGATCTATAAAATCTTGAGGAGAAATATGAAGCACTAGGGCCACCAACTAGAGCTCTTAATTATCTTTTTCTTTTCTGGGGGAAAGGGTGCGGGAGAGGAGTAGCAGGAGGAAGCCCCCATCAGTGAATGGGAAGCCCCCATCAGACATTAAATTAAAGGAACAATGAGAACTGGTACGCAATCCCAACAACCATACTTCCTGCCATGCCACAAGTGCATAGCAGGAGGCACAATTGTGAGATCAAATCCATTGAGCATCCCACCAAGCATCAAATTCTAGGGCTGTGCAAAGCTTCAGCCCCTGATTTGACTCGGCCCGATTCAGTGGCCAAATCTCCGAATCCGAATCAAATCAGAAGACCCTTTAATCTCTCCGAATCCAATCGGAACCCTCTGAATTGATTTGGAAAAATTCAGATTTGGACACAGACACAACTTTAAATGTTTTTTCTACATACTTCTAGGTAGCAGGCAGATCATGAATGCTGTGATGCTGGGGCACATGGAGTGTCCCACAGAACCATGGGGAGCTCCCCAGCATGCTTGGCAGGGAGGGGGGGCGTGGGGGGGGGGGGCAGTGCACTCAGCAGCAGACCTGGAAGTGGACCAGAAACACTTCTGGTCCACTTTCTGGTCTGCTGTGGAGCGCGCTGGGCCCCCCCACCCCCTGCACCTGCCCCCCGGCTCAGCGACTGGTGCCTCCTGGGTCTGGGGGGGCACCCGAGGTCCCCCCACAGCTGATCCCCAAGCCAGAGGGGAGCGCAGGGGGGGCCCATCACAGCATTCACAAGCCACACCTGGTACCTTAAGGTATGTAGAAAAAAATATTTAAAGCTGTGTCTGTATCTGAATCACTGATTCTCCAAATCAGCATCAAATCTTCAGATTCAGATTTGGCCGAATCGAATCAGGGACAGTGATCCAAATCAACTAATTGAATCACTGTCCCTGATTTGTGGCAAATCCAAATTGAATAGAGTCTGCTTCGCACACCCCTATCAAATCCCATCGCAACATATTGCTGGTGCAAAGGGAGCCCGGGATCATAATGCCCAGGATCTCAGGCTCTCCCTGCATGAGCAAGTAACGAGCTTCACTCCTTGCAAACCTGCAACTGGAAGCCCTGCATCAGCTGACAGAGGCTCCCAGCCAGGGGACTGCACATTTTTTGTGGTTTATTCCACATTTTATCAGGCCATTGATTGAATGATCATGTGTCTGGATTACTAAAGACTTGATTAACCACTTAATCACATCTTAAATGTAATACCTGTCAGGGGCCTGAGTAAAAAATGTAAGAACTTTATTGAAAATATTCTGCTTGAATGCAAGTGTTGGAAACAGAAGGAAAGTCAGTTTAGTAAATGCCTTTTCGTTTATTTCAGAGAAAGCAAGGTTAGCTTTTTTGAAAGGAATGTCAGATT